TCCTCCCCCTTATCTCGGCTGAAGCTGCTCACTGGCATGGGCGAGGCGCTTCTGTTCTTCCTCTGGTCCAGCAGGCTTCCCCGCCCCCGCCGTCGCGGTGGGGCAGCAGCGGGGGTGGGGGGAGGGTCCGTGGGCGTCTGCAGTGCAGGCCGAGCTTGGCTCGTCCTGTTCTCGCTGGCTCTGCGCTGGGGGAGGCTGGCTTGGGAGGGCGAGGGGTGGGCAGGGGCTTCTGGGAAATTTCGGGGGAGGCTGAAGCCCCCCAGCCCCCCCAAACATTACGCCGGTGTGCCACTTCATTCTAAACCAACAGAAGCTTCCAAACTGTTTTCAAAAGAAACCTCATGTACAGCCCATACTGTAAGTCAAGTCAAATGATTACTAAGGCATGCAAGATCATTGCTAGGTCCTTATCTTCTAGCAGGGGTACAGCTGCTCAACAACCAAAACTGGGGGAAACCACTCATGACCACAGGAATCACCCAGAGATTCTAGAACAAAGCTAGACAGAGGACATCCGAAGCTGCAAACCCGATCCTTTAGGGGAGTATGGCTCCATCCTCACCATGTTTAATGGACCACTCACCATCAGCATCTCCATTTTATCTGTCTGAGCTTCAATCATTCAGTCTCATTTTGTACCTTCTGAAGCTGATGTGTCAGAACTATGGCCTTTTAATGTAAGGTATGCTTCATAAATGAAAGCCTGAACATGCAAAGTGTGGAATACATAAGGCTTCCCAGTGCTACCATTTACAATTATTGTGACTCCACGGAGGTCAAAGTCTAATCCGTAATATTTAGCTGTTAAAGGCTCATGAACCCTTCCTGGAAAAATAAAAAGATGAGAGCCCTATCAAAGTGTATAACAATTATTTCTGCAGATCTAAAAGCTTTCCTATTACTGTTCACTATTCAGCAGTACTTGTCCTACAGACTGTAACAAAATTCTATAACCAAAGCAAAAAATAACTAGAAGGTTAGATTAGGTTTTTTACTAAGGCTGAATGTATATAGAAGTAAATCCCATTGAGATCAGTGTGACTTTCTTCTGAATAAACATGGTTAGGATCAGAGCAGCCTGGTAGAAATTGAGTGCTATGGGAGAAGATGATATGATGAGGAAAGAATTATAATAAAGAACTTGAGAAATTCCAAGCTGCTTCTTGTCCGGCCTCTTTAGTACAGATCTGCAGGTCACTCTTGAATTCAGACATCACAACAAACCCGTTTTGTCTGTGATGAGAAAATAGTCCACAGCACAGCTGAATGCTTTGAAGAGATATTCCTTTTAAATGAATAGGTCTCGCATATTTGGCAACATGCTTGATTTTTAGGCATTGAGGTAGTATGCCCACAATGGTGAATCCCTCGTGTCAGGGCTTTTTTTGTAGAAAAAGCCCAGCAGGAATTTATTAC